TGGGGAGGCACATTTGTATTTTCTCTTACCCTCCTTGGGGGAGTATCTTCGTTAGAACTCATTTTTCCTTTATCCAACTTAGATTTCTCCAAGTGGTAGGGGTTCCTCATGTTCTCTTTCAAGAACAAATCCTCTTTCAAGGGGGGTTGCCCAAATGTTTTTTCAGCAAGCTTTTACCACAAGGTTGCTCGTGGTTATGGTATGATTTCCCACAGACGGCGCCAATCTGTTGACCCCAAAAAGTGCGCCAACAGATGCCGGTCCCACCCGCGCTTGCGTGGGCGAATGTCCAACACGCTAAGACACGTGGATGGTCTAAACGAGCGGTTCAAAGGGGCGTGGGAGTAGCCCAATGACGCGGGACGGTGACGTTCGAGATCCGGCGGGTTGTTCGTAATCCGGTTGTACAATAATTACCAACCGGTGCTCGTAGATATATGCAAAAATGTATAAACTCGATTTGTGTATTGCCAGTAAAATGGGAGAGAGTTGAGTAAAATGTAGTCTTTATTATTGATTCTTGCATTAGTCCTTTGACGTTATACAATGGGGGTATTTATAGTGATACATATGGAATGGGGGCCCTTGGATGAAGTGGCACGTGGCTTCATCTCCTTAGTTTAAACGTCTGTTCTTAGGCATGGGATTTGACTTGCTAGCTTATGGCGCATTTATTGCTTGTGCAGGGCCTCCACGCTAGTGACAAGACTTGACATTTATTCTTATGACAGACATTCCATCAATCATTCGAATAAGATCTGTGCAGGCGATCTCTTGGGAGAAGTGACCATGGAGGATGTTTCCTTGTAGTTGAGGCTCGCGCATCAACTCTGGGGCTTCGTCCATTCGAGGACCTCAGCTACAACCAAGAGCTTCCACGCCTCGGGCCACGGAGCCTCGGTTAGAAGCAGTTCGGATGTAACCCACCTCAGCAATGTGGGCCACTTCGGCAGGAATGCCACGTGGGTCAGGATGAGTGGCCCACTGGCCCAGGTGGATAGGACAGATGTGACAACACGCAACAGTTGGAATTGATACAGTAACAAGGAAATGCATAGGCCAAATGTGACCGTGTCATAGATATTTTTGCTGCTTTTCTGTATTTAGTATGAAGCCGAATTAAAGTCAAAGTTTTACGCAAAATTCGTTTATGGGTTTTCACAGGTTTCGAGGAAATGGGATCATAAACACTATGCCTCGGTTATCATTAGCCACATATTCAAAAACTGCCATTCATTAAGTCCTTGTCACCATTCGAGCTTGAAAGTTACCATTTAACTTTATTTGAGCGACATATTCATAATTAGCTTAATGAAGCAAGATAGTAGTGGATCAGGTGCCTTGCCATTTGCTGGGTCATACTTGGTACTGAGCTCTTCACAGAGTGGTGGCAATGAGCCCTTAAACACACTAGCTCGTGGCTTGTTAATAATGAGCCGAGCCCACGAGCTCTTTTTTTTTTTTGGAAAATTTTCTAACTTTTTCGTCACATTTTTTACGAGCCCACAACCCGAGCTCTTGAACTTTTGGCTCGTGGGCTTTTGTCCACAAGCCGCTCGAGAGCTCGACGAGCCGAACCTTACTCATTGGATCCCACCCTTGCTAGGCTCGTACGAGCCGCCCATGAGCCGAGCTTTAACGAGCTGAGCGGCCAAGCCGAAGAGCTGCTCAGCCCGTTTAACATCCTTTCATTCCATTTATCTTAATTAATGATTGTTTCATTTGCCGAGTGATTTATTTTTCTCTTTCAAATCCATTGCACTTTATGCAAAGTCTAGACGGCATATACTTTTCTTATTCATGTAATGTCGAAAGACAAATTTATTTATTTCTCAAAGTCGAGATTTGTGAACTGTGGATATTAACGGGAAAACGTTTCCAGTTTGCTGCTGTATATCTATCAAAGTAACTACTTAACTGATGGATTCGACTGTTACATAGGCAAAATTAGCTCATGGATTGACTCGGATTCTGAAGATGAATTGCTTTGAAGCAAGAAATAGCTTGAGCCTCTCATCTATCCTTGCAGATGAAATTTTGTAATTTCAATAATCATTTATGCTATTAAAAAAAAAAAAAAGTACCATAACTAATTTGACACAAATTGGAAGTTCATTGTCTTTTTAAAATAAAAACTATAAACACCAAGGAAATGGGAAAATGACACGAAATTCGGACATTGTTTCAATAGGCTTAATTAAATATGATTAAATGGAACTCGAAACTTGTCACATTTTAATTCAACATATCGCATTACTCAAAAGAGAAGTTTAATCCATTGAAACTAGATAGTATTATTCATTAATAAAACCATACGAGATTAACAAGGGTAGCTTTCCATGATTCACCATCCGAATCTCACTAAAATTTGTGAAAAGACGCTACATCATCCAAATCAATTGTAATCAATCGTCGTTCATATTTTGTGAAGTCTTTCTTGCTACTTCAGAAAATGTGGCGCTTAAACACAATGTTCTAAGCTAACTATATTTATCGATCTGACCCTTTTTTTCCTTTTCTAAATATATTAACATTGGTTGTAAATCAATTACTTCAAGTAACTGAAAATGAAAAATTATACAACATGAGATGAAGCTGCAGGAATGATGACGATGATGGGAAGAATTCACAGAAACCGTCTGCTGACCCCTGGCTGCCTCCGAATTTTACATTGTCAACAAACATACAAACCAAGTTGCATTAACGGGGAGATGTTACTCACGGGGACGAGCAAGCCAAAGAGAGCTAAGTGCTCGAAGCCGAGAGAAGTAATCGTTGATGGCAAGTAGAGCACGAGCTGATTGCCGAGTTGTCAATATACTATGCATTCGTTGCAAAGTCTGTTGCCGCAAATTGTCAGCCTGCAATACAAGTAACGCCTCGTCATCATTAATCAAATCATACACAGATGGAATTATACTTCAACACAATTTCTCACATTTACATGTCAATATGACCGATGAGCCCCATATGATCTCTATTATGCTCTACACAGTCTTGTCCCTGTTCAGTTACCTTCTTCTTGCGATATGCAGAAATAAAATGAACAAAGAGACGGGTGCTGGCTAGGGGATAGGATTGATAACAGAAAACAAAAGGTACAAAGAGCAAAAAGATAACCTGACGAATGAAGCCTTCCAGAGTTCCCAACTTTCCCATAGCCATTGCCATTTGACCCATGTAGTTGGCAACATTTCCTGTTGATGGGCCGAGTGAGGCGGCCAATGTTTCGGCCAAAGACTGCTGCAATGCTTCCATTCCCTGTGACAAGGCGTCTTCAGCCTGTTGAGATGACTGTTGTAAGTTGTTTATTGACATTAACTGTTGCTCGGTCAAGGGCTCTAACTGATTTAGAAGAAGCTGCAACCAGGTAGGTCAAAGTTTTAAAGACTAATAGAACACCTACAAAAGGTTGGCACTTAAACCATAAAAAACAAAACAAACAAGCAAAAAGATATGAACCAAGAAAATTCACTCTTCCGGAATAAAATAAAATGTGCACAGTTGCACGCTCAATTAGGACAGGAGAATTAATTCAAGTAGTGTACGGTCACGAAAACAACAGAGAATCCAATAGCTATCCCTCTTTGACCTTATTGCTTTAAACTGAATGGAGTGACTGCGCTCAAAAAGCAATGCTCTTCAATACATGAAATCCTGATATCCAACGAAGGACTATGAACACCATAGAACCAAAATAACATGCAAGTAGAGCACATAGAAGCATCATACATACTTACTTATGTCAATCATCATAAGCATCAGGAAAGGTTCTTAGTAAGGCCAAAAGGTTTTACATAATTTTACTGATAATTTCTCTTAGAAATTCCAAACCACCATACACACATCTAGTAGTACCAAAGACACACACACACACACACACACAAACACTATTAATCTCCCCACATAACTATGTTCCCTTCCTTAAGCAGAGGAAAAAGGCACAGATTCATTGAATCCTATGGGACTACGATTTCCTCCTCCACTATTGTAGTTGTCTCATCATTCTTGGGGGATATCCGGGGTGTTTTGGATGATCTGTCTCAGCTCAAAGAAGGATACAGCATTCTAGTCGTGATCCCCTGAGCTTCTTTCTAAAAATCTATGGTTTTATCTATGTCCATGCATGAGCCGCATGTATTGTCAGAACAGATCAACAAAGGCATAACGTGCCACCAGGGATGATGAGAGAGCATCGTGCTGTGTGAAGGCAGTATAGCTCTGCCCATGCCATCCAGCCAAGCCCCTACCACTAACCTTAACCCACACTCAAGAATGCTCATATATGGTACTCATATGAAAACTGGGAAATCTGTGCACTCTCCACATTAACACACACATTCATTCCCATATCTACCAGTCTTTGGAATATGCTGTAAAATACCTTCCCTTTCATGCATGTTATTTCTTGCTAGAGAGAAGAGAAGGGAAAAATAAATAAAATATGGGAATATGAATCTTTACACTCATGCACCACATGATATAACATGTTCTCGTACAATTGTTTGTTCTATGCTCAAAATATTCAATAACTATAAAAATTCCTGAACATTTAGCCCCTGTTTGAGTCCCATCTTTAAAACTCATTTTTCTTCACATTCATTTTCAACCACACATTCTCCCAATAAAATAATTTTGCACATAAACTCCAAACTTTTCCCAAATTTTTAACCACACATTCTCCAAAAAAAATCACTTTTTCAGAAAATCTATTCATAAAAAATAGGACTCAAGCAAGGGCATAGTTCCCAGAAAAATGAGGGTGCTACAGGGAAAATTAGGTGCAGACTTTTTGGATCTATCAACATGAGTTGTCTGCCCTGTCAAAGCCTTGGAAATTTTTAGCCTGTACATTTTACCATTTAACTTGGCAACAGACATTAACACATTGAAGCCATATTACATATGATATATGGATCATTCTACAGTAGAACAATTTATCTCGCCAATAGTACTTGAGAGAAAAAATTACAATATTCCATGTGGACATACTCAAGAAAAAGGGAGGAGCGAGAATATGGAGAATCATCCTATAAAAGTAATCCCCCACATTGCTGATAGGCAAAAAACTGATAAAACGATGTGACCCTCACCTTAAGAAGTTCAGATGAACGAAAACCACCAAGCCAGAGGAAGCACCTTTCTGCAGGTGTTTTCCACATGCCTGATAAAATATGGAAGACATCAGCCTTTGCAGCGTCCCCTTTTATCCTGAAAATGTCATCATAGTGTGCCAAGATGCCGTCCACAATTATGCGAAGTTCACCATCACCTGCATGTTGATTGACTGCACCTCTTAGCTCATTCACCCGGCGGTTATGTTCCTCCAGCCAGCGTGCATATTCAACATCAAAGGCCAAAGCACCTAGATATATAGGCTTTACAGATCATATTTCCATGGAACCCAAAGGCACCGAAATAATTAAGGTTTGTGAAAAAATGAACTAAAGTTACCAAGTTTACAAAAGCATTTAACTTATGGGAAGGACCAAAGTTGACATAAATTATTACATCTCAGGATATTTTGATGGGGAAGCAAAAATTAAGCAACTAATGTCAAACAAAAGAAATCTTAAAAATAGAGAATTCGGGAAGTACGAAAATTGTTATCTGGAATTTAACTTAATTCCTACTCCCCATCAATTCTTATATTCACCCTTTTGCCAAAGTTCATCGTTCTAATAGGATGAACTCACAATCAGCTCCTTAAAAGCACAGAAATCTGATTCAGCAAACGCTTAAAATATTTTCCGTATTTTTGCAACTCCTCAAGAACATGCTTGTTACCTTAGCCCTTTGCCTAAGAACATGCTTGTTACCTTAGCCCTTCAGGCAAAGGAGGCCCTAGGTCAAGTTTAACTACCAGCACACAACATAAACTTGTAATCCTGCTCCATCAACTAAATAATTATATGCTTTACGCCTAGATATCCACTAGTCACTGACATGTTCATTTTCATATTTTGATTGTTATTCTCCTGCAAACAGTGACATCTTTGCTTTCTTTCACCCAGTCACCCTTTTTTTCTCTCTCTTTCATTCTCGGGATTTCATATATTTAATTATTTCCACTAAAGTAGCTTATTTTATCTATTCTCAAAATTTAAAAAAGAAATTACTGTAGCAATATGTTCTGCTTATGATTTTGACTTTCAATAGAGCTAATTGCTTCATACATTTTAATGCATTCATTTTTCATTCCCAACCCTTCTTTAAAAAAAAAAAAAATAAATAAATTCATAATACATGGAGTTCTTCTAAATAATACCATCAACCTCTTCATCCATAACAAGTCTCAGAGAAGGATGTTCCCTCTCTGAAACTTCCTACTCCCTTCTAAACTTAGTGCTCAATTTCAATAGTTATTCAATCACCAGGCCTGAAGGTACACTGAACCATTTCCTGAACCTCTTTATGCTGTCAGTCCATCGGCACTACCTCATACAACATGTTTCCTCTTTACGACCCTCTTGCAGCTTTCTTCTCTTTCTTTTGGCAAATAAATTTTTTTACAACAGAAAAATTTTTTATACCTGCTTTGAGCAGCAAAACCATTTCATATGAAATTCACAGTCAGATGTTCAAAAGGATGATAATTATACCATTTCCTCCCATCGACTGAGCTTGCTCTCCTGAGTTTGAAATAAATATGCCCTTCACCAAAGAAAATATACTCACTAAATTGAGAAACAACAAAGACTTACTAGAAATAGGATTTCAGGGGTAAATCATATATAAAATAACTAGACAGAACAGAACCTGTTGTCTAGCTCGTTGGAGTTCCTGTTCAAGTTGTGTCAACTTCATTCTGCTGCTTTCTAACTGTTGAACATAAGCCTGAAACCCAAATAGCAAAACAGAACACTTGCATATAAGATAGGCTGATGACATTGTCAAATGACACATTATTTTTATTGGACGAGAACCTCTTAAGAAAACATCTAAAATTGAGATTTCCATACCACCAGCTAAAATACAATAATCCACACACCAATAGTAAAAAGGGAATAAACAGAGAGATTTCAGCATTGGAAAAATTTTAAAATATGAGAAACAATATGACATGTATACATGCATATGGTGTATGAAAACACTGGCAACCCAGATTTTAAATGAAATGCGAATGGGCAAAATTCAACTGATAGATTACCCCCAATAGATAATTAACCATTGGATTTATGGATCAATTTCTGTGTATATGGATGGGGTTGTGAATCATATTCAACCTTTGCTACTTTGTTGCCTCTAGGTTCTGTCAATGTTTCATCCTTGACATTTGATAGTCACTAAACCCAGTTGAAGAATCAAGCCATTAAGATAAGTGCTTGAAGTTGGGTATGGGTACCATTAATGGACTTTAATAAAAAAAAAAAAAAGATAACATATAATACAGGTAGAATTGATAATTTATTTGATAAATAATTTGCAAGTTCTTTCACTTATAGATTTTACACAAATAAACTGATATACTATTATGCAGAACCAAACTGATGAATGTGCACATCTATTTCAGAGACATTAACATATTTATACGTTGATTTTGAAAAAATATTCTAATTTATCAAAGATGCCAATATAACTTTTACAGTACACATATCCTAATATGATTGTGGAAGTTGTTTAAGCCACATTACTATAATTCAAAGTTATCAGACCCAACCAGCCCATCAACCAGGTCAGTACGCTGGGCTCAATGGATAATAGAGACGGAATAGTAACTGGATGGTTAGGACACCTCATCTTCAAAGATAAAGAAGGGCATGAACCTTTAGTACATCGAATGCCAAAATTTTTTGAAACACTTCTAATTGAATCCCAACACAAATTATGTTGTCAAAGATTATGCATAAATACAACTTCAAGTTTAAAAATTAAGGTATGCCATGTTTGCAGTAAGAAGAAAAATGTGCTTAGCTTTCTCTCTTTTGTTTTCTCCAAATCAAATTGACGACATACTAATTTTTCTCCTTCCATTTTTCATTAGTATTTTATAGATTCATCCAATTACTACTTATTTTTCATATATTTTGCCTTTTGTCATGCAGTTTCACAAGACAGATTAGTAATATATGTTCCAATGTATATCAGAATGTCTCATTCCCTGCTCCTCTATTTCTAATTTCTTTTCCCCCCATGCATATTATTTGTCATAATCAACTTACATAATCAATGGCAGCACTCAACTTACATATCAATGGCAGCACTCCTCTTCCTCTAATGTATACAATTTATATCAAAATTAGTATATCAAGATCATCAGAATTCTGAGATCCTGCCATATTTCATTTCCAAATTATATTACTGATTTTCATATTAAATCCAGGGATCTAGGAAAACGACAAAAAGAAATAATAGCTATTAACATAGAGTATTCCTTTAAGAAAATTTTTAGTAATCATATAATTTCAACCCTTCGGAACACGTGACTATGCACTTTTCTTAAGTTTTTTTGCATTTTAGTACAAAGAAAAAGTTTTCAACTGTTTTATGTTGATTATAGCAGTCATGAATTTGCTAGGTGCAAACTGAAAGTACTTTTAATTAATTAAGACATTCTTTCAATTTTCTATAGCTATAAAAACTGAAAAACTTGCCTAAATAAATATCTTAGTAATCAGTTATCTAAGTTTTAGATGATATTGCAGACATCAAACTTGCGCTGGCTTGGTGGGAAGGAACTTTAATTATTACACAGATGATCCAGGTTCGAAACATGCCACAAGCATTGTGAGAATATGTTTTAGGACCCACCCAATTTTATCAAACTGCACTGTCGGTTTTACAGCAACCGGTCAGTTTCTGGGACGTTATGACCGACTCGACTGTGAACCAGTCCACCATTGCTAACAGGACTGGATCGCCGGTTCAGTACATTCCAGTTCCAATAACACTGCAATAATTGCTAAAAACTACCTACCACACAAAGGAAGATAGAGCAGCTAGTTCGGCAGCTCAACCCGGATTATAATGAAAACTGAAAAAGTGTTCACACAGATGATTTTCAGAATAGATTTTGACAACATGCATTTATAAATGGTAACCAGAAGTTGAAGAAAAACGATTGAAGGTACATAATTTGCACAACCCAAGAACCTACTTTTTTTTTCAAACGGCTTTTTCTCGCAGCTTCACGGTTTTGAGCGAGCCTGCGGAGCATCTGCAAGAAGCTGTCAAGATCATGTATCTACACAAATAAGGATATAGGTGCATGAGATTTAGTAAAATTTCGAACTTTTTGATCCCTGGACTTATCGCTGCCATCAGAAGCTACCAGACCCTGTGAGAGAGCGTTCTGAAACAGAAAACTAATGTTAATACCAAAGCAATAACAAATAACGCAAGCTTGTCAATTTAGAGTAATGGGGACAATATGTACAATGAAAATGAAACCATGAACATCTATTTATCAATTCACAATAATAAGGATATAAGTATGTATAATAAAGAGAGAATTTTTGCATAAAATATTGGAGAAGCATTTGGGATATTACCCTCAAATTCTTATCTTCAGTGTCAGCATCAGTTGAAGTATCAGTCATAGGACTGACATCAGCCATACTGGGCACTCCACAATATCCTAGATAAATACTTCAAACTAAAACAAGCATATAAGTTCACTTCTCTGTTGGAAGACTGGAGAGGATCAGAACCCAACGTTACTGGATAAAACTCAAATAGGAGGAAATTACGCTGCAAAGAGAAAAAGAATCCAGTGGCAACATAGGAAACTTTTTTAGTGATTTCAGCAGCAAGACATTGTTAAATATGACTAAAACAGTGAGGCACAATTTCAGCAATTATTATAGCTATAAATTGTTTCGTTGGTCAACTTTCATGAATCAAGAATCATATATTGCAGTAATTTTTCATATTAGAAAACTTCAGCAAAGTAATTCATGGTATTCCTTCTTGGAAAGAATCATGGAATAATTGCAGCTTGAAATAATTAATTCTCTTAAAGCAACAAAAAAAGAATTAGATTTTTCTTCAACTAATGTTGAGAATGGAAATTATTGACAAACCCTTTCCTCGGTACGTATTCCTTAACTGCACCAGAATTATCTATACGTATTGGTTAATGTTTTTTTCTCTTACTTTCCCATGGTTTATGGGAACAGATTTCTCTTTTAGTCACCGTTTCTTCATAGTAGATCTTTATCTAAACCCTAAACCAATAAGTTATTCAAACAATACACAGCCTGTTCACATTGTATCAGAGCTCTAAGATTTTCCTTACGATTTCAACTAGTTTTCACTTGACCTCAATGGTCAGAACTGCACAGTCTTCTTTGCCAACAAGGTAATCATCAACCCTGTCCAGGAATTGTCATCCTCTTGAATAAAAAATTTCAGAACTCCCTAAAACCAACCCAGGCAATGTTGATTCCATCATAGTCATCAGGTGAATACAAAAATCTGCAAGTCTCATTTCGATTCAATGAGCACACTATTTTTTATCAGGTCAGAGCTCTTGAAAACATTCCCAAAAGGGAAGAGAAAGATAAGCCATGAAATAGGCTCAGCACCAAGAGAACAAAACCCCAATTTTACAGTTTGGGATGAGGATTCCGTGTCATGACTTGGTTGTGGAATTCAACGGAACCAGAAGTGAGCAAAATGTGCATATTTCTTTCAACAGCAAGGGAAATTTGAGAGGCTGTTAGTCAGACCTATTCTAAATGTTGCCCAAATATAGGCAATAAAGACCCAAAATCAACCACCAAGCAAGATAATATTAAATATGTCTGTTAAATAGCATCATCGGATTAAGAAAGGTATAGGGCTTGAATTAGACTATTATCAAAACTTTAAGATGAAATGTAGTGAAGATGTTGCAACAATGCAAAAAGTTCATTGGAAGATAGAGAATTTTTTAGTTTCTTGCTGGCGTTAATGTGGTTTGACCAGGTTACACCCATGTACTTAGCAAAGAGTCATGGCCATCATTTATTAAAGTTTTATAATAAAAAGGGCAGAAGGAGGAGGATGGTGATGTTTGCGTTCCGTCAGTCACAGACAGCTCTGCCCTGGACATTGTAGAACGAAAGGGCAGCTACTATATCAAGGAACTGGAGTATCAAAAGATACATGATGCAAACAAGGAACAACAGAATCTTTTAATATAGCATGTCCTATATAGCCATCTTCACCAAGCATTCTACATTCGAGTAAGAATTAAGCTAGTTTTGACACCCTTTGAGTGTCAAAATTGAGCCATTGATTTGAATAAGTGTTGTTAAAGTCAATGGTAAAATTGTGTATCATGTCAAAGAGTGTAAACAAAACTGTAAGTATAGCAAAACTATTCGAGTAATATTTGTGCACAGCAAAACCAGAACTCTTTGGAAATATTCAGATCAGAAACACAAGAACCAAGTCGAACCACCACATATATATCAAACCAACAGACTAAAGAAAAACTAATATCATCTACTATTAACATGAAGAGACGAATCCCAATAAAATGAGAATAAATGAAACACATAATCAATAAATTCTTTTGAGATGTAGAAGAACTCCATTTCAGTATGAACTTACAGTGAAAAAAGACAGGGTTCATCAAAAGCCCACATCAAATTCTGCTCTGCAGTTCACAATATTCCCCTGCAAATTGATAGAAACCCAACAAACAAACTGAATAAACCAAACCTCTAAGATGTCGCTGTTGCTAATATCTGTTTTCTTGATTGCTATCAGCCAATTTTGACTTATGGGTTCTTTCCCAGTTAATTTTCTCAAGCTGGAAGCTTCTATTTGAAATCCCTTCACTTGTATAAACAGAAAAATATAAAGAAGAGGTGCATTTAGTGAGATTGTCAAATTACCTGGGTCGGATACGGAGTAGAGAAAACTATTGGTTTGCGAACAAGAATTGGGGAAATTGCTTAATCAATATCTGACAAAAAATTTACACGTCGTTGACTTTTTCTTTTATCAGTCTCGCCCATGAACGCTTCGGGAGTCAAGGCACACTACTAATTTTCAAACACAATTATTTTTTTGTCCCATAAAAATAAATTTGATTTCTTTTCTCAATAGTTTCAAATAGATCACTTCTGATCTTTTGATTTCTCACAAGTGCACGATATCGTGAATAATTAAAAAAGTGACAACTAAAGCATCGTTCACACAAAGACATACGTTTTCTAATATCAATTAGAATGTCTAGTTGTACATAATGGGACGTACCGAATGGTGTACACTCCACTTATATGAGTGTGGGACCCATGTGAAAGAAAGGATATTTTATTATAGTGAGTCCATCGCCCATATGAGTGGGGTGTACACCATTAGGTATACCCAAATGTACCACTAGCAAAACCGTATCAATTAATGTTAACTTTAATTGAATAGGAAATTTTGTTAAAGAATTTATACTAAATTAACTAATCTAGCTACTCTATTGAGCAATTTATAAATTTTTTTGTAAATTTTCAATGTGACTTTACTAAGTGGAAATTACATAAAACCATACTTTAATTATTTAACCTTCTAAAATCAGATTCAAAGTTTTATATTTCAATAATCAGAAATATTATTTTAATCAATATTTTACTAATATACTTCATTATCTACACATTACAAACCCTAATCATCTTTATAAACACTACATTCTCTCTCTATCCAGGACTCTGTCGTCTCTCTCTCTACATCAACGCTTCTGCCGGCTACAAACTCCGGCGATGGACCAATCCAGCCTCGTCACGATGTGAAGATGTGGTTGGTGCAGGTCCCTCGCTCGACGGCTGAAGCAATGTGAAGAGGTGGTTTGCAACCGCCTCGATTCGTTGCGATGTGAAGCAGTGGAGGTGCTACGGGGTTGATTGCGTGGCGGTTGTGAATTTTGAAGGGCGGCGATGTGAAGCACTGGTTTGCAACCGCTTCGATTCTGTGGAGTGGGACAATACAATGGTTTCGTTGGGGGTGGTGGCGGTATAGTGTGGATTGTGGTGGTAATAGGGTATTGTCGTACTAGGCTGTTGTAGATGTGGTGGTGATGTGGTGGTTGAGTGAGTGGGTGATGAGCGGTGGTGGTGGAGGCGTGCGGTTCTGTGGTGGGGACGGAGGTGCTGTAGATTTGTGGCGGATTTGTGGGAACGGTTCTGTAGGAACGATTTTGTGGTGGATTTATGGTTGTGTGGTCATTTGTGGAGTTTTGTGGTTGGTCTGCCGTGATGGTGAGATCGTAGTGGTGATGGTTGTGGTACTGCGACAGTGACAGTGGTGTCGGTGTGGTTGTGGTTGTGACGGTGGTGTTGTAGAGGTAGCGGAGGTTTGGTGGTCGTCACAGATTATTTGATTGATTGTGATTATTAAATTGATTAAACCGTGACTAATAAACAATATATGACCACTAAAAAGATAAATTGTGACAACAAATAGTGTGTAACCTAAAAAAATAATAATCCATGACCTATAATAGTTGTGATCTGTGACTTGTAAATAACTTGTAACGTATAAATTTTTTATCTGTAACAAACAAATCATGACTTACAAAATTTTTGAATTGTGACCATAAACACAATTTGTGACCTTAAATTTTTTGATTTGTGATCGAAAAGTAAGTTGTGACCAATAATTTGATAAATTGTAACTAAAAATTAATTCGTAACTAATTAATTTTTTTATTTGTGACTGATGAACAAACTGTGACTTACAAGTTTTTTGAATTGTGATCGTAAAATAATTTGTGACATAAAATTTTTTATTTGTGACCAAAAAATAATAAGTGATTAATTAAATTGTTAGTTTGTGACCAAATTGTATAGATATGTGACTTAAATATATTTACTTAATAAAATAATTAATTAATTAATTTAATAATAAATAAATTTTAATAAAAATCTGATTTTTGAAGTTTGAAAACTTATTTTCTTAACTTTGGAATATATCATATTTAATCTCTTACTTATGAAATTTTCCCTTTTACTAATATCTCAGATCCCCCTTATTAATCCGTTTACATGCAAATCAATAACATGATAATATGTCTACATTTTTGTTGATCAATATTTCTAAGTTAATTAAAAACATATTTTGATATCAATTAAAGTTATCCTCTCAAGTGAACTTCTCATATTTCTATAAAAGATACGAACATGAAAGCATGCATTAAAATTCGCTCTGCTCGAGCGGCATACCAAAAAAATAGAGCACGAAGAAGCCCCATATCACCCCCCATACGACTAACCCCTTACAAGCCCTCGATTGGACAAGACCAAGTATGCTAAGCAATCTATATAAATTATGTAAAATTAGCGATATATCTCTATCCCCTATCCGAATTTACAATAATTGCTATAAAGTGCTTTCTATGATATTGTTTCTCTCGAAATCAATAAATTTTGCAATCAATCCTATTAGTAATCAAGTAATTAGATTATATAACAACTATTAAAGAATAAACACTTATTGGGCATCTGAATTTTTATAAAAATATCATAATAAGGGTTTATCAGTATCTTAGTAATTAAAAAATTAGCCTAACATTAAAAAATTGCAAGAAATCATAATTAATTTGTAAAATGTCACCTGGATTTTGATTATTAGAAGAGAAGATTATGAATTTTTAAATATTTCTTGGTGAATTCCAGTTGCGACTTCCCATCGTTGCACAAAAAACCAAGCTTTGATCAATGAATTGATTCTTGCAATTGCCTTGTGATTTTACTCAAAAGATTGATGAATATGGCCTCCCTTTGATGTGATAAATTGATGAAATATATGTAGGAAAGGTATATGAAAGATTTCCATGATGTATTCTACTGTTAGATATTTATAGGAGTCGAAAAATGGTTGAAAATCATGTTCTGATTTTCAAAAGAATTTCAATCGAATAAGAAAAGTTGTCTTCGTATGCGCATATTCTTGTCTCTGTACAGCCGTTAGAGACAATTCAAAATGTGTTAGAAAGCTAATTTAAATGGTTGCAACTTTTTGTAATAGAAAATTTTCAATTCAAATGTCTACTTCACTATATAGGGGTTTCATGCACCTTGTTATCAATAAATATAAACTAATTTTATTCAAGTCGTTATTTAATGTTGGGATATATTAGGAAAAATATAAAAAAAAAAAATTATATTTTCAATTATATTAATTACATTTAAAGGACAATGTAATGAATAATGATTTAAAGGAGCATTTAAGCCACCCATTTATCGATTCGTAGATGCCTAGAAATTTCTTAAAATGAATATCTATCTTTTCCATCAAAATATGGCGAATCTTTGGGTTTTATTAACACCAAAATATCTAATTTAGGTGGCTCCTTGGATTGCACAAAATTATGATGCCTTGGGTTATATATTTTTCTTGTGGAGAAAAAGGTAAATGTTGATTTGATTTTGTTTTTTGTTTTTATCTATGTTGTTCACGGGACTGTAATGCTTTGGAATACTTTGGACCTCTATACTTTTATTATGGTTTGACTCTGTTTTAACTATCTTTACCTTTTTTGAGTTAATGATTTGGTTAAATTTTGAAACATTGGTTTAAACCTCTACTTATTGTTTTTAGCCCGTTTGATGGTCACTATTGAGAAAAAAATTATGCATAAAAAAGTGTTTTTAGAATGTGTGATTGAAAATAAGAAAAAAATTTGGATTTACGTGTAAAATATTTTATGTGGATGTACAGTTGAAAATAAGTATGAGAATTAGCCCCGTTTGACAATCATTATTTGGGGAAATTAGAGTTTTGATTAATGATTTTTAGGAGAATGTGTAGTCAAAAAGTAGAAAGAAAATGAAACTTATGTGCATCATATTTTATTGTGTAAATGTGTAGTTGAAAATAAGTACGTAAAAAAAAATGTTTGAAACTAATTGTTATAAAGCAGGGGATTAAAGAATTTTATTTTAAAGGGTGACAAACAAGGACTAATCTGTGTCGCAAACTGGATGTATGTAAGGATTACAAACGTTTTGATTTTGTGGTTTCAGTATAATAATAGGGCTTGACATTTTTTTATTCCCCTCATTTTGTAGGCTTTGGTTTATGATTTTCAACCTCGGAATCCTGAAAAATATATTAGTTGCAGATTTAACTGTTACTGCTCTTTCTGTAAATAGGCTTAAACTTTTTTATTATACGAGTTAGTATTCATTTTCCTAAACAGAGGAAATATATTGCAACCTCTATAGTTTTACATTGGATGCCTAACAATTGGCGACACGCCGGTCTATTTCCTCCAATGCATCGTCTTTTAGCCACTTTTCTTACTAATAAATAAACAAAGTTGTAAAGTTACGATGCACTTTGTCGTCTCCCTAAACATTCTATTCGCACGTCGTAAAAGAGGCCTACAAGGAGGAGAACTACATTCTAAATGTCTAGTCCAAATGTGTATAAGCTGTGACTGCATTTAGTTTTACCCAGGTGGCGACTCAAAGGGGAAGATTGTCACTCCACAAGATTAGTTACGCGAAGTTTTGACGCCTGAATCATTGAAATAATAATAATAATAATCAAAGTTGTGGACGTCCAACGAAGGCTATTAGGATTCATGCTTATAGAAAGAGAATTCCATCTCAAAGATGAAGATATAAATAGAAAAAATTCCGTGTGATGCTTCGACGACGAACTGTATTCTTCCAATTCTATCGCAAAATCAATTCCAGTATATGGTCACCTCTTTGCACTCGTGTCTAAAATTTGTTTACGTCTCAATCTCTAAAATTCATGTATTTATAAGGGAATTTAGCACACCAAAAGCTTCACCGATTTTTTTTTCCTTTTTTTCTTTTTCTGCATTTGTGATTTTTTGACATCACCCTTTGAATGCATGAGCATATCCTTAACATTACTATGACTGGATGACATCTTGGAGATCTGTAAATAAGCTTAATTAGGGTTACTCACTGATCTTGTATCTCCTTAACAAATGACAGTCAAATGTTTAGGGTCCCTGGATTATATTGAAATTTATATTGTGGATGAGCATATGATAGCAACATTTTCATCTTGAAGCTGGAGT